GTAGATTGTGGTATTCACACACAGGGCGGTGACAACGCTCTCTCCACAGGGTACTGCATACTCCATGTTTCGTTTTAATAAGATTTAAGTGCTTCATTTTGGTGTTATCCTTTGGTCTGTATATTGCAATGCTTTTAAATACTTATTAGATTGTAAAACAAAACTGCAATGAACTACCATATGTTTGTTTATTGTGTAAAAAATTTGAAAACTATGATTTTTTCTTTTTTTTCCATCTAACTTGACACTTTCAAAGGTGCCTGTGTTTTCCATAGACCGTCAATTGCAAGTTTCTTGCAGCTCGCTCTTTTGCAATGGGAGATCGATGCTGACAGTCCCTGGAGATGCAGCTGAAAATCTGCCCTCCATTTGTAGTGAGAAATGCCACTGTCAGTTGTTCCATTCCTGGCAACGAGGACAAAATCTTTCCGAAAAAGTTTTGGCGCGGAGCTGGGTGGCTCTCCCAGGCGCTCCCGGGGCTGGGGACCAGATGCCGGTGGAGGTCAGGGCTGTATCCCACAGCTGGGATGTCTGCAGCACAGTTGAGCTCCAGTTCATGATTCAGCCTCTGGCCTTGCAAAACTTACAGATGTGCTTAATTTCCTTAAAGAAATGCAATGCAATTTGCCTTCAGTGCAAGTGTCGGGCTTTGAAAAATATTTAATGGGATGTGAATGGGGCCGGACTGACTTCATCCCTGGGAGTCTGACAGTGGGCGGGAGCCAGGACTTGTTGCTGCGCCCTAGGAAATCAGCCTGCAGCTTCCTAGACATACATTTAGTATTTAGTTAGCAAACCCAGTAAAAGCTGTTTACTGTTTTTCGTAGAAGCAGACTCTTGCTTTTTGTGCACGCTTTATTTAGCTGCACGTAGGGGCCAAGCAGCTCTCTGCTGCGTGGTCAGAGGGAGGGGGGGGGATCGCTGTCCCTCTCCCCCTGCTCTCCCTCCCCTTCCTTATCCCTCCTGACGTCTGGGAATTGAAATCTCTCATCACGCCGAGGAACAGACAAGGCGCCAGGACTGCTTCTCCCACAATTTAAGAATGTAGCTGGATTTGTCGCACCTCCCGGCTGACTCCAGGGAAAGCCGCACCGCTCCACAGAGGTCCGTGTCTCATTCCTCTTCGGGGCTCGGTTCATGGGGATGCCGAGGAGGGGCTGTGCTGTTTTGGGGCATGCGTGGGTATCGGCAGAGCAGGGAACTTCTGCAGGGTTTTGCTTTCTGGGAAACTTGGAGCTTTCTGGGAATCTTGGAGCTGATGCAGCTTGGCGCTGGGTGTCGGGTTGGCAGGTCTCATCCTCTTATGGGCAGGTAGCTTCAAGACTCCCGTTCACTGCAGGTCAGGTCTAAATATTGCCTGGACTACTTTAGTGATTCTTTTGGAGGGATGGCTGTGAGAAATGAACTTTCTTTGTTATTTTGTGGTTTTTTCCTTGTATTTTTGTGGTTAATAATATAAAACCTGTGGGAAATTGCTGCCAGAGAAGATGGTACTTGGAAGGGTTTGTTAGCCACGGCAGTTGTCTGGGTGGGTTTTTCCCACCTGGAGGTGTGCTGTGGGTCTGCATCAAGCCAACGTTACACAGCCTGCCTAGGCTGTGGGGACCTGCAAAGGCTCAGCCCAGAAGTGAAACTTGTGCCTTACTTTTTTGAAGCTGGTGCTGGGATAATGGAGACTTTTTGTTCAGTAGTGGAACAGAAATACAGGAGATTTCCAAGAGAGAAGAGAAAGAGGTTGATGAATGTAGTTTTTTCTTTTTTACTCTGTTTTTGGTCCTTTAACTTACGAAGCACTCAGGGGGTGTGGGACAGATTCACTCCCTGCAGCTGGCTGCCCCGGGCAGGTCGCTGGTCTCTTCTGCGGGGCTGTCCCTGGCGCGGGCCACAAGGTGACATCGCTTCTGCCAGCTCCTCTGTGCAGAGACGGTGATGACCTCTGGGATGAGGAAATGTCCCCAAACTGTGGCTCTGGAGGGTGGAAGTAACTAGCAGTGCCTCCAAATCCCCCCTTTTGGTTGTGCTGATTTAAATGTCTGGCAGGGATATTTTGCATATAATTGTGTTTTTCTTAATTAAAGCGACTACTTCTAAAATTTCACGCACAAATAAGGGGATCTCTGACTGCCTTAACCTCCAAATCCCCTCTGAGCACACAGCTGGGGCGACAGGGAAGTGGTGTGTTCCCCACACACCCATTTTCCAGACCCTGGAAATACTCACCACATGCTCCATGTGTTGCCGTCTCCAAATTCCTTCCCAGGAAGAGTAACGGGAGAGAGGCACCAGCGTGCCGGAGGCTCCCTGCCTGCCAGCGGGCTGATGTCACTGCGGTCCCCTCGGTCCCAGGGTCCACAGCTCAGCCTGGCACCAGTGAGGGAAGAAATCATAGAATGCTTTGGCTTGGAAGGGACCTTTAAAGGTCATCTAGTCTAACTGCCCTGCAATGAGCAGGCACATCTTCAACTCGATCAGGTTGCTCAAAGCCCCATCCGACCTGACCTTGAATGTTTCCAGGGATGGGACATCCACAGCTTCTCTGGGCAACCTGTGCCACTGCCTCACCACCCTCATCAGGAAGAATTTCTTCCTTATGTCTCATCTAAATCTTCCCTCTTCCAGTATAAAGCCATTGCCCCTTGTCCTAGCACTCCCTGCCCTTGTCAAAAGTCCCTCCCCAGCTTTCTTGTCGGCCCCTTTAGGTACGGGAAGGCTGCTCTAAGGTCTGCCAGGAGCCTTCTCTTCTCCAGGCTGAACAACCCCAGCTCTCTCAGTCTGTCCTCACAGCAGAGGTGCTCCAGCCCTCTGGTCATAGATGGGAAGGGACCATGGAGACCCACAGTGGGGGCTTTTGGGGTCCAGCAGGTAACCTGTGGAGAGGGAGCTCCTCCAGCTGTGTATCTTCTACCATTTCAAATGGATGCGTTTGTTATTCCTGCTTTTCAGGTAGGAAATGAAAATTGGCAAAGAGGCAAAATAGTGATGTGTTTGCCTCTGAGCTAGGAAGAAGAGATGAAGTCCCTGCTCCTTGCTGTAGTGGCAGTAAAGATCCACACCCTGGGCACTTACTGGATCCAGCCTGGGTTGACATTGAACTCATCCTTACTGCCCCATCAGGGTGGAAGCTCCTGGCTGAATCAGACCCTGCCGTAAGCCAGGCTGGAGAAGCCCCTGTGTTTATTTCGCTGGACTTCAGATCCTGTGTAACTCTGGCTTAACACAAAAAGATCATATCCAAGTGAGGGCTTTTGCCAGAGTTCGGCATCCCGTTTGCCAGCAGAGCCACGGGGAAGTTGCAAGGGAATCAAGAACAGCTTGGTGGCATTGCAAAATGGCACGAATGAACTTTCAATTCAGGGAATTTTTAAAAAATGCTGGTCTCTTGCTGCTGTTTGGCACGTGTACCTCTGCAGCCAGGGCAGGCTTTGCTTTCCTGGAGGTGACAGTCAGATTCCTGAAACCCACCTGTAAAATGTTTGCTGTTTTTTTATAAGCAATGATTTCATTCTATTAGATGGGAAAAAAAAGCAGGTGTTTCCCATGGCTAAGGGCTTCAGTTGTGCTGCAGTTGTTCCATATAACCTGATCTTCAATCAAAAAAAAATAATAATCACAGACTGAGTAGGGTGGTTAACATCTCCCTGTTATAACTTGCATATTTTTCCATTCATTCTTACAGTAATTTAGAACTGATTTAAACCCCAGGAGATCATGGCTGGGTCACTTACAAGCATATTTATTTTTCCTTGAAATCGCTAAAAAGCTGATGTATTTGAAGGGAAATAGGCATTTGCCAGGAGCCTCTAAATACCTGTCCATCAAAACGAATAGAAGTGAAATGTCACTGCAGACGGCAGCAGAGGGAACTCGTGTACGGTCTGGTTCTGCCAAAAGCAATAAGGCTGAAATGTGTAGCACAAAAATGACAGATGCCAATGATGCGTTGCAAAAGGCCAACAGCATATGTTTTAAACCTGGTATATTCAGACTGAGATGAGGGGGAGACACTGTTTCCACCAGGGTGGTTTTATGCTGACCCAACATTTCTGACCCAAACTGTGTAAAACTGACATCCAGGCTGGCAAAGTTATCTGAAGGTGCTGGAGGTCCGTGGGCTGGTGGTCCTTAGCCAGCCAGCTTTGTCCATGCTGCAGAGGTTACTTCTAAGTCAAACTGATCCTCTGCCATGAGGAATTCTGTAGCTGTATCTGTTTCCAGTCTGTTCAAGTGAACAAGTTTAAACAAGACTATCCCAACAAGTCCTGAATCTAACCTCTCAGGAACTCCACTGTGAAGTAAGAAATAAACCCCTTGTTTCTCAACTGTTGGCATATAAACCCAGCTAGGTCGGTGGTATCCCTCCAGCTGCATAATTGCATTATTACAGCGACTGCAGGGTCATTAAATCTGTGGTGTGAGGAGCCTGTCTGCCAAGGAGTGCTCCTTTAAATGCTTTTCCTCTTATGATCAGCACGTGCATTGCAGGGACACAAGAAAGGTGCTGTATGTTTGTATACCTATATTAATTTTGGTCATGATAATCAAAATTAATTACTTCTGTATGATTTAAACCAGAAGTTGTTCTGAAATCTATGTCTGTCCAGTGATTTGGCCAATGTCGCTTATTTCCATGATCAGAGCAGAACCCAGCACCTGTTTTACCACTGTTGAGATCATCCTGCCAAGAGAGCAGCACCCATCTCCAGGACCAGGCAGGCTGAGAGGAGTACTCGGTCAAAACCTACTCCGCATCAGGTTTATAAACACAATTCAGTACTGCAGGGAATGGAATAGCTGTATTGGAGAGACCAAGAATGTAAAATAACATATAAGAATTGCAGGAAAATTAATATGTGCTTCTCAATCCACCCTTTCAGCGTTGCATGAAGTTGTAGATCTCAGCTTGCGTTCCCTTAACCGAGGACTGTAAAAAAAACTGGGTTTTGACACTGCGAAATGTAACTTTTACTTCTCCTTCCTGACTTTTGCCCTCTTGTAGGTCCTGGTCACCATGCTGATTCGCACGTGTTTCTTTTTTGCCTGCCTGCCTGTGGCGAGCCATGTCTGGGGACGAGTGGGCCAAGGTAAGGAGCCCGCCTGCCCTTGCTCTGGGCAATCCCCTGTGGTTTGGCTGTCACCCGGGTCAGCCCAGCCCCTGCCCGAGGCCCCTCCGTTGGCAGTGGCACCGCATGCGAGGGACATTCCCAGTCACACGCAGGATTTCAGGGGGCTGCTGAGCTCTGATGTCTGGTGGTGAAGCTCCCAACAGCCTGTTCCCACACGTGAAGAGTGATGGGAGATCAGGGGGCCCATTTGGGGAGAATATCTCGATCGCTCCCCACCCTGCAGAGCCTGTTCTCATCACTGGCAGCAGTTCAGCACGCCGTTCCCTTGCATCAGGGATGCATTTCAGCCTCTAGAAGCAATGAAGGGTGCTTATGTGATCTGCAAACGGAGCTTGAGAAATAGAAAGAAAGAGGGTGTTGCTTCTGTTAGTCACTGCATCTGTCCTGCGCTCTGAAAGTATTGCTTTGGATGTCTGTGGTGATACGTGGTGCGACATCTGGACAAGAAAGGACATGAAGTGCATTCCTCCTGCAACACATAATGCTCCCATAGTACCATAAATGACCAGAAAATACCTATAGCACCTCACCATAGCCTTTCTGATGTTGAAGATCCACCTTTATATCATGTTTGAACCTTCTATGGAAGCGCTCAGCAGAAGGGTTTCTAGAGAGGTGCTAGCACTTCAGAACTTGGACAATGTATCCGTACTGTGTATCTTCCAGATCAGCCTCTGCAGTTAAGTCTGGGCTTAACTCCTCATCAGCCAGAGAGCAAGGTTATAGCATCAAACAGTGCGCATCCAACACAGAGCAGGGAAACAGTGGAGCTTTCATGGCACTGGGGTTCATTTGCATCCAGCACACAATGGTGCTTTAGAGGATGCTGTCCTCTCTGATCTGTCTGGGGACATTCTTGCCTTTTTAGTTTCTGGGTTCCTAGAGTGATGGCTGAGGAGCTGGACCACATTTGGCCAAAAGAAGACAGCTCCATATTTAATCTAACTATGAATTCCCCTCATTGTTCCACGATCTTTTACCATTTCTCCTAAGCATGATTCTGGGATTTTATTTTGCCCCTCACCCCTCTTCCCCATGTTTTCTTTCTTCCCCTTCAGATTTGCCTGGGGTGAGATGTGAATCTGAGCTTTGTTTCCCCAAAATAGTTATCTGCTTGTTGGGCAGCCTGCAGGAAGTCTCTGCAAGGAAAGGTTAAGGCACAGATGTTGGGCTGGGACAAGCAAGTCCTCACTGCCAGCTCTCACTGCTTTCCTGGGCTGTGACTTCATGGCAAAGATGTCAGGAGATGTCTGGACATCATACAAGACCAGATTATGGACTTGAGGAGTCCTGTGCAATGCAGTTTGCCAGCACTGAGCTGGACGGTCCAGGTCACCCTAAGCTTTTTTTTTTATGTGTAATGGTAAAGGGAAAGA